CCGGGGCAGGGGGCGTGGCAGGGGCGTGGCTGGATTGGAGTGCCAAGGAGGCGGGGCCAGAGATAGAGCCGAGTGGAATCCTGAGTACTGCACCCGACTTCAAATAAAACAGCGGCGATAGCGCAGGTTTTACTTGCACAATAAAGCCTGACTTCCCAGAGATTTGGGTCACTGATATTTAATAGAGCGTAATAATAATATTTACCTTCTCTGCCTTTTGGGGAAAATGAATGAGCTAGCTAATGTAAACAGTGTACCCGAAGCTGTAGGCTCAGACCCTGGTAACTGTGATGATGCCGGTGGCTCTGTCTAAAGCCAGTTTTGTTGTCCTTTCTAAATAATAACTCTACTTTTCTCCTTAGGAAAGTGATTTTTCTCAGACCTCCAAAGCAGGGGGCTCTACCCAGGTCAACTTCAGTGTAGCAGATTGGTTGTTCACATTAATTCAACCATGTTTAGTTAAATGTCCACTATATGTTAGTTTCTGAGGATACAGCGATGATCAAAACAGCTCTAGTAGGGGAGCCTACAGTTTGAGGAGAACAATGAAGTTCATCAGGAGGTAATAAACATGCTGAAGCTGGTGTGAGAAGGCCCATGTGCTATGTGAGCTTCTAAAGGGCAGCCTGCCCCAGATAGGGAGTCAGGAAAGGCTCCTGTTTAAGTGGGGCTTTCTGGGATAAAGTGGGAAAGAGTACTCGAGGTTGATGAAACAGCCAATGCAAAGGCCTTGAGACCCTGAGAAGGCCACTGGTGGAATTTAAGAAGCTGGAAGGAGGCTTGGGTAGCCAGAGAGCAGAAGGTAAGTAGAAATCTGATGTGAACTGATGCTGGAGAGCTGGGCAGGGCCCAGGACATTGGCTATGGTAAAGATTTTGGATCTTAAGAGCAATGGGAAGCTTTTTTAAAATTGGATAGATGACGGTAGCGCTAGCATGGAGCACAGATTACAGGGATGGGCTGACTATTGCATATGAAGATATTGCTGTAGTCCAGATGAGTGAGGGAAAGGCCCTGTTTCCAAATACAGTTACATTCTGAGGTGCTGGGGGTAGGGCTAAACATGTGAATTTGGGTGGGACACAATTCAGCCCATAGCAAGGGCTGGGTTTGAGATCCACTGGCTGTGTTCATCTTCTCTTTGTTCTACCGACTCAGCTTTGACCTCTTGCTTAGCTTCTGTCTTCCATGAGCCTGCCGTCCAGATGCTGACCCAGCTTACGAGATAGAGCTGCCCAGAGGAAGCTGTGTCCCGAGCTGAGGCTTCTAATGGCAGGAAACCGAACTCCTCCCCACCCCCATCTCACTTGGTCACCCACTGTTTACTTTCTCCTTGGATGACAGCTTGAAAACTGGCTCTGAGAACCTTCAGTTTCGCAGTGGTGTTGCCACTGCTGGGGATGGAGGAGTAGGTGGAGGTGGGGAAAGGGGCATAAAGGCACCAAACTTATGTTATCTGTGGGCTGGCACATGGAGCGTGTTTGGGCTTGATGATTCTGAATCGGATCAATTGCTTCATGTTCTAACTTTCTCACTAGAACAGAAATCAGACTCCCAGCTCCCACACTTAGGTAAAGTCATTGACTTGTAAATACCCAATTCCATTTACTCTTTCTAGGTTGGATTCTGTTGATGCTGAGAATGTAACATTTGTAAACCCAAGCTTGGACCCAACTCTCCTTAGCCAGTACAACCTCCTAAAATCAGACTACACAAACTCCAGCATTATGGGGCTCGTGCTAAGAAGTGGCTTCTGAACAATTTATTAAGGAACCCCTTGGATGGGGGCAAGAACAGTGTGGAGGAGGAAGAACAAAAACTAGGTTCAAGTGAACATAATTTTGAAAAGGTAGGGCCAGGGCAAAATTTTGCTGAGATTATCACACAAACTGACTGATAACAATAAATGGAGCACAGATCTCTCTAATCTGATTCCTGAGGAACCATCTCCCTCCTCTGTGTGACTCAAAGTATGAAAAAGCTCAAAGTGATCCAATGATTAAGCTCCCAACACACAGGTCAGTGGTAGAACTAAAACAAAACTTAAGTTTTCGTGAGTTTGGAGTTGCCCTAAATCTGCTTAAAAAATGGCATCTGAAGAGGCTGATGAGACATGACAACCGGACGATGCAAAATGTGGTATTAGACAGAATCTGGTGCTGGAAAGGAGACATGGTTGGGATGACCGGCACCATCTGAATGGGGTCTGTGGATGCGTGGAAGTGTTGTACTAATGTTGGTTTCCTGATTGGGAGGGCTACAGGATGGCAATACAGGAGGGTGTCCTTGTGCTTGCAAATTACACACTAGAGAATTTAAGGGTAATGAGCATCATGTCAGGAAAAGACAAATGTGGTAAAATGTTAACAATTGACAAATTTGGGTGAAGGGAATGTAGGAGTTCTTTATACTGTTCTTAAAAGTTTCTTGTGGGTTTGAAACTATATTAACACAAAAAAGTGAACAAAAAAATACAAGTCTAAAAGCAATTCTTTTATTTACAGTATAAAGGTTACAAAGGTATGTATGTATTTATATATATAATACCCTTAAGTTACAAATTTTCATTGTAATGTACAATGCTATATGTTGATGTGCAACTCAAGGGAAAGTGTTGTCTATGCATTATACTTAATACTTAAAGCTTTTTTATTATTAAGAACACAAATACTGCCCTGTTTTATGCCATGGGTTTTGATTTGGTAGTCTGGTGATGCCAGAAGATTTGAGACTTAGATTTTAAACAACACTTAAAAAGAAGCCTTGTTTAAATACAGGGGTCTAGAAAGAAGAAAAAACCAGGATATCACATACTTTTAATCCTTTGTATAAGCCGTATTCTAAGTCTTAATACAATAAAAATGAAAGTTGCGTAGGACACAATACATACAAGCAGGTATAATCAAAGTTTGCACAGATTAGCCAAAACAGGCCTTTCTGGGTAGTGGTTTGCCACATTATCTTCTAAAAGACCCTGGGTTGGGTACCAAAAGGGAAACAGATTCTTTGGGCACCGAGGTCCTATCTTACGGAACCCATCTAACAGGCTGTAAACATAACACTGAGTCCTAACTTAGAGAAAAACAATCTGAAGTTGGTTCTTATGACAGGGCAGATTTGCTTTAAGGTGTGAAGAGTATCAGAAAGATCGATGATTGTGCCAAACCCAAAACTGAGTTTAAATCATTTCCTCTCCTTCAAATTCTATTAATTCACAAAACTGAGGTGAAAAATTGTAACTGACACCCACTTGAACAGGACTGAAATAGAACAAAAGTACGTCTTCCAACCTGGGAGGAACAGACACGTGACAATACTTATGTGCTGGTTACAATCATACATAATCATTAGCACCTATTGTCAAAGGGTTGGTTTAAAGACAGATAATGAAGGCATGACCTAATGTGTGTGCAACTCCAGGACACTGAAAGCAAAGGGGAAGGAGCCCAGGAAACTGCGTTCCCCATGCTATTCCAAACACTGACAGCTCAGATACTTTCTGGGCAGGACAAAGGATGTGCCTGAGAGGCTGACTCCAGTGACAGATGGAAGGCATGCTGGATATAAAGGGATTGTTACTGAATGAAAACTTTGGAAAACTCTCTAGTTTTTTTAGGTGCCCTTTCTACTCAGTTTCAATGCCCGAGTATTCTAGAGTAAGTGGAATTTTGCTGAGTTTTAATCTCTCAGATGGAGAAACAGTGCATCTACCATGTGTATGGACTTACAGCAAATGAGATGTTTAAAGTCTGTAAATGTGGAAATGAATGGGTCAGCACAATCTAGAGAGGGGGTAGATGAAATATAACATTTATCTTTGCTGTTTATAGTTAAAAGAAGCATTTCTTTAAAAAGACTTTCCACTTTGGGCAGTAGAGCTTAATTTTTGTTGTTGTTGTGATCTATCCTATAGGATATTCTACACTGTTCTTCCCAACTAAAGTCTGATTTTACATTAAAAAAATTATGCATGATGAAAAGACCAACCCACTTAAATGTGCTTAGAGTTCTTTCATGCTGGCACGGACCAAAGATTGAACATCCTTTTAAATATTTTCCAGTTTGCCAGATGGGCAGAACTGCAGATGTACTTTGGTAAAAATATGAAGTGGTTAGTTACTTAACTTCTGATTGATAAACAGATGGCATGGTGCACCCGAGAAATAATGGATTATGTGCTACTTGAGGGCAGAAACTTTCTTTTGGACCCTTCAGAGTGCCTGTGAAGAACTGTACATTGATAAATGCTTATTAGATGAAAGAATACATGAGTTAATGTACCATTAACTAGGCTTGCAGTTTCAAAAATTTCTGTAGGGCCCCAGAGAACCTTTTGTCTATTTGTAAGAGACTTCTATCACTTTGGAAGAGGTGATAAAACAATTGGGTTCCCAGGATGTATATGTGACTGGGCGAAAGGGACTCAAAAACTTGCATTTGTGTCAATGGCATGGAAATAAGACTATTACAAAACTGAGTAAAGTACTTACAGGACTCAGAAGTTAGAAATCTACCAGAATACCTAACCTTACGTTAAAATGAAGTATCATTTCTGTTATATCCTTTTAGTTTCAACCAGTCTATTTTGTGGCAATTTAAGGATTACAGTTTGTATGGTAGACTTTTGTTGAATACAGGCTAATGGAGAGAAAGCAATCACTTGCAAATGGCATATTTATGCATTACATCAAATGTTGATTGACTTTTAAAACCAGAATATACTTTGGTTCAGTCACCTGAAGTGGAAAGGAAGAGTAAGAGGTGACAAGAGATTAAGCTCAAGTTTATCAAGTTTATAAAAGAAGAAATCTTGTTGAAATATTTTTTTGAGTTAATACATAACCATTCTTCCAGTTGGCAGTTTAGCTAGTGCTGAAAAGAGATAAGAAGATAGATGTGTTCTATGTGTCTATTTATTGTACCTTACCTTAACTTGAAATTACCTTAACTTGAAATTATCTGCTAGATGTGTGTGTGTGTTCTTTAGAGAAAGGGTTTCAAATAAGCCACTTAAGTAGTCTATTACTAGTGTAAAATAAATTTCACTTAATATCATTATACTATAGGAATAGCTATATTGATCAAAAACACATAGTTTTGATATGCAACATAATTATTTAAGAATTGTCTATCATCATACATTTATTGAGTGTCTCTATGCCCAGCACAGTGAAAGAGCTTAAAAAGGTGGTGGTGGGGGGTGGGGAACTGCTGCTGTCAATTTTAAAGAACGTGTAGAAAGTCAAAATAATTCTAGATTAGCAAGCAATTAAGATAGGAACACAAAGAGAATGGTAGAAGATGGCAGATTCCTCTACTTTCATCTAAAGGAGAAAAAAAAGCTACAATAACAATTAAAATATAAATGAAAGAGATTTCCAATCTCAAGGTGAGATATAATACCACCTGGCACATAATACACCTGATAGAGTTATACAAAATGAATGAATATGACTATAGTCACATTCAACTTTAAGCAGAATCCCAAATAAGTCTCTTTCCTTACATAGGTATGCAGATCTCAATATGCTTTGAGACCAAAGAGATCTGGCATTTTACTTCTTCATTGGGGATTGAAAAAAAAGACGACCTTTGGTTTTCTAACCAGCCATTTCATTCATGGCGTCAATGATGGATGGCAGCGACACGGAAATGTATGCTGGATATTTGGATGGCTTAAATATTATGTACAATCAATAGCTTATAACCAGTGAAAATAATAAGAACATAATTTGCATAAGTGTCTAAGATACAAAAAAGCAGAGAAAGTGCTCAAGTCTGCAGGTCTTCCCTGAAAGCTTCAAAAATGTTCAACTCTTTAACTAGGTAGGGCTTTTAATAGATTTTGCATAGCAGCTTGCAAGATAATTTGCATTTAAAATATGGAGATTCTTCCATGTTTTTGAAAACATATAAATTTATCCATATGTATATAGATTAAACAAGAAGACCTGGAGATTCTCACAAAATTAAAAAAAAATCCATTATAACCTTTTCTCAAAAGTGGTCACACTTGTCCATCAAAACCACTTACAGTGAAATGTGTTTTTTCTGGGGAGAAACATAATCTTGTCCAGATTCCACACAGCTTAATTATTTTTTTTATAGAATAAACTTTGAAAAAAAGAAAATAATAAATTTTGGTTTATTAGCTAAGTGCATTTAATCAGATGAAAAAAGCTTTGTTACCATATTGTTTGGGAGGATAAATTAAGAAAACAATCAGTAACAACTTTAATCATTTTTGGTTAGAGAGATTTTTCCACATATAAAAATATAAGAAATAAATAATTCAATCTCTCCTGCCATGCAATAATTTTCAATAACAAAGTTGAGAGTACAGATGATAAAAACAGGCACTATAAGATATCACCAAGCCTAAAAAGTGCTAACACATGGCTTTAAAACAGGTGAATGACATTTAAAGTAATATTTTTGACTCCTGTACATGTCCCGATATTTAATCTGAAACTCTACTAGGTAGGTGAGTTTACAGTTACAACTACCTAATAAATACCGTATAAACATACATTAAAGTATTTCTTCATATAAAATATCAGATACTAATTTCTAGGTAAGGTTTGTCTGATGACTTCAGGGAAGGACTCACCTTTTTCAGAAAAAGAGTAACTGAGCCTTTTCTCCTTTGTTCCTCTTTTTTTTTTTTTCTTTTTTTTTGCAGAGGAAGAGGAGAAGTTTTAGGAAACAGGGAGGAAGAATTTTCACACACCAGTTTGCTGCTCATAGGCATGTGTGGAATGTGGAGAAGACATCTAAGCCCTAGGTCCAGAGGGCGCAGGAAGTGGCCATTGTAATGGGGGGACACCATCTGCGGTTTCTTTTCATTCGACATGTGGAAGCCTACCACATTCTCAATAATTTTCCTAATTCAAAATGAAAAAGAAATGAAAAGTCAGCTGTTCTAGAAAAGATGTGAAATATCAAAAATGCCCATTTTCAGTTATCATTTGAAAATAATTTGCCACCTTTTGGCATCTTAATACAAAATATCTATTTATCAAGGGTGTCCCATTCATAGAAATCTAGTACTTCATCTGTGGTGTGAAAATCCCACAAACATTTGCTTGAAGAACAACCTGATCACCCATGATTAGAAAGCTGTGATGTTAAACAAGCAGCGTAAGGGCTCGTGCTCTTGGGGGCGCTGGTGGTCAAAGGAAACTCCCCCATATACCTTCACTTCCCGTCCAGACTCAAGAGATATTAGAAACGCTATGGACCTTGGTGCTATGACAGTTTAAGCTTGAGCAAAATGAGCTGAAATGCACACAATGCCTTACCTCTTCTGCCCAAATTTTAATCACACCTTTTTAACAGATCTTTTTCATGTAATGAATGAGCAGGGTGGCTCAGAAGTTTCCCCTAAAAATATTTTCATTGGCTTAACCTTTCACACTAACAGAAAACCTCAGCCAAATGGCTTTGCTGCAAAAGTCTGTGACTGCATCATTCAACTCCTCAGATTAATAATACTCTCACTGCAAAGAGTGTCTAACCTCCCTTACCTGAGGGCATTATGTGTTGAAATTCTGCTTCCAGATCTTCAAGATACTTTCTTTCTTCCCTGACTTGCAAACGTATCCAAACTTAGGTTTATGAATTTTCAAAACATAAAAAAAGCTCTTGAAAGACAATTCTAGTAGAGATTTCAATTTCTGGTTTTAAGTAGATCAGATAACTCATTTTGGGAACTATAGCTGGGGGAAGAACTGATTTATGGGCAGAGGGAAGAAGACAACGAGGTAACGATGTCTCGCTAGAATTCTCTCTGCTCGTGGGTCTGCTCTTTCTCATGCCCCACCTATCCGTTGGTTTCCACTTAAACCAAATAGCTCTTGTTTTGCATGTAGTATATTTGTGGGGTTTTGTTTTTGTTTTCAGTCTTTGGACTGCTCCTCCACTTCCATAGTGCTCATATCCTCTTACAGCATTACTGTTAAATCTAGTAAATGAGAACTATCACTCCTAGATCTTTCTTCAGAGAGCACAGAGAACATCCAAGTCAATATTACCTTTTCTTTCAGGTCTGGGGACTATGCTAACACTGACATTTTATACAGCTATTATACTATTTTAAATATTTTCAGATGTTTCTTCATAATTAGGAAAAAGAAGCTAAGTGTGATTCTCCAATGCCACAACATCAGCAATCTTACTGCTGCTATGTCCTAATGATGACATCTGGCAATGCTTAGCAAAGCCCCGGTCAGCCGTTCCATGGTCTCAGCACCCTGCCCATTGCAGGATGCATCGCTGAGCACTGAATTAGCAGCTGCTGACGCGTGCCACGGTGCTGCCACACAGGGAGAGGGCCAGGACCAGGATCCTGCACGGGCGCACACAGCCCAAAGCCACTGACACAATGTTTGTGCTAAAGAGCTGGCTTCACTGACAAAGTGTACTCTAAACAAGCTGGCTTTCCAGGATTTATCTTTCTCAAAGCGATCTGCCAACTAGAAAAGATACCACACTAAGGAAACCCACCTCAAAACCTATTCCTCAAAACTAGGACAGATGATGTCCCTGGAATGGCAGTGATATCCAGTTATTCAAATAATGACTAATAGAGCTCCACTAACCCTAACCAAAGGCACATTTGGTAAGCAATAAAAAATGGCTTAGGCTAAAATGAGGATTTTCTTTAAAAGAAATCTTATCCCCTGGCTCCTACCAAAGATAAAATCAGAAAATCCTAAAACAAGCAAAACTTTTCTTTCAAAGCAGTGGTTTACAACTTGCTTTTCAACTTAGTTACCACTAGAAAGGAAGTGGAGAGCAAGGCAAATCAAATTTCACAAGTTCTAAATCTTAAGAGTTAGTGCCACTTATGAGTGGCAAAGCTTGTGATGTGGTGGGAAGTGATGGCCAGGGTGGGATGCAAGGAGAGCGAGGACAGACGAAGAACCCTTTGGTGATGCAATTCAAGGACTTCCTAGGGTGGAAGGAGTGAGGACAGTAAACTCCAACAAAGTGTATAACCTATCTGGAATGACCAGGAAGCACGGGCTGCTGCAAACTAGCACCTGGGAAGAGATAACTGTCCTAAGCAAGAGGCCAAAGATAAGCCTGAAACAAATCCTACTGGAAGAAGAAGAAAAAAAAAAACTCTTGGATGTTTGATTATGCCCAGAAAGAAAATCAATGAGCCACCCTTCTTAACAGGGGAAATAAACCTAATTACTTAGAAACCACATTAGGAAACTAGACAATAAATCAACAACTTCATTTTGGAGCTTATTAGAGTCCTAGGATTTCTGGCCAAGGTAGCTTGTGAAAGGTAGGCTCTTCTTTAAACATGGTTACAGTTCAGCAGTGATTTGCAAGTCCTTGTCAAGGCACTGTGCTGGAGGAGAGAGCAAAGAGCTTTCTTTTTGTGCTTTTTTTTTTTTTTGAGGTGGAAATACTTCTTACAACATTCAAGGCTCTTTACCGATTTTTTTTTTTTTTTTTTTTTTTTTTTGCTGCTGCTCATACAAGCAGTCCCATGCGAGTGACTTTTGCCGACAAGAATGTGTGCAACACAAATACAATCGGCTTTGGACAGGAGTGCAGATCCATGGTCTGTGGAGAAAAGACATTAATTACCACTACAACATACAGATGCTTTAATAAACAAACATGCAAAATAAACCAATTTGGATGTGATGTTCTACTTTTAAAAAAGAATTTGGATAAAGAATGTGCCAGATTTATGGCTACTCTTGAGGACTTAAAGCCACAAATGGATGTGTACTCTGAAGTAAGCTTATTCCATTTCATAATTAGAACTAGTGTGAGATTTCACATCCACAATTAGGATACTATTGGTGGTATACTAGATTCCACCATGCCAGGTAGGAAGAACTAAAAAGTAGAGGATGTAAAGGAAGGAGGAATATCCTATACGGAAGACATTAACTATAAGTATATTTCCCAGGGAGAACCACAGTGAATTCAGCTGAAGTGTGACCATCTATGGGTATGATTTTTGATACCCCTTATTGGTTTGTGGCAGGAATGACAACTCTTGAGGCTAGTCAGGAGGGCTAGTTATACCTTCCTAAGCACAGGACTCTAATCTGGACAGACCTCTAATCTCGACAGCTGACACCAGATGAACAGGCTTTTGACAAGGGCTGGTCCATGGCCTATCCATAGTTCTGTAAAGGCTCATCATTTAAAATAAGATTTCTTGCCATAGTTTTATCATTTGGAGGTTGAACTACGTTATCTCTAAGATCTCTTTCAGTTCTAAAATTTCAAGACTCTGTTTTCCAAATGTACACCAATTGTGACTGTGTCAGTGGACTTAAGATTCCACATATAAGACTACTAGCTCAATACTGGTAGAAAGAAGAGGCATTACTTTGACTCCTTTATCACAATTTATGATTTCTGAAATACACTCAACACACACTTCTCTAGTTCTCTGAGAGGAATCATGAACTCCTGTTGATGTTACCTTTAAAGGACAAGGAAGTAAAAAGAGATATGGCTGTATGGACATTATCGCTGTATCTTTTTTCTGATCAGCAGAATTTCTGTAGCAACCAAGTCACTCTATTACTTTTAACTCTTATCCCAACAAACTGCTGATAATAGCAATGGCTAGAATTCATTTATTAAAGTTTGCCAGGTTCAGTATTTTGTATCTTTTATTTGATAAAAGCCTGCTTCTTAAAAGGGCTATTTTTTCTTTCTAACATTCAAACAAAACTTTTTAAAAAGGGAATTGATTTCCTAATGTGGGGGAAACAAGAAACAAACAAACAAACCCCAGACCAAACCCAGTGGATCTTTGAAGACTGAAAGAAAATTTCCTGGCTCCAAATGGAGTATCAGTCCCTAAGTCCATAATTTTCTATGTAAGAATTAAGGAGCAATGAGAAACAAAGAGAATACCTATTAGAATAAATGTGTTTTTCAGAAATACTCTTACCAGTTCTCCCTCAGGACCACCAAAATCCAGATACAGATTTCTGATGCCATCATCAGCAGACATTTTCAGCCTTTCAAAGGGGTAGCGGTACAATATGCTGCTGGAACCTCCATTTTCCCTGGAGATGGTGAATCCATTTTCATAGTGGACAGTGAGTCTTACCTCTTGGCCATTTAATGTGCAGCCTATTGAAGACAGCAAAAAACAAAATGTCATTAATAAAGTTCCAAATTCAGTTAGCAAGTGACAAAGGATCCTTCTGACTTAAAAAAAAAAAGCAAAAAAAAAAAAAAAAAAAGCAAGAATTTTCTTGAGAACGTGCAGTACCTAACCTATTTGGAACCTCCTGACATGAATTTTGTTTTCGTCCCTCAAGTCAACATCTCGATTGAGATGACAAAGAAATTATCATAACTTTGACAGCTGATCTGATTCAGCTCAACTCAGTGAACATCACATGAATGCTTGTACTGAGAGTAGGCTCTGTGTGGTACTGGAGAAGTAAGAGGCATGGTCCCTGCTCCCAAGACCTCATAAATGATAGGCATAGACATGAAATTCCTGACCGTGTCAGGTAGAAGGTACAGAATATGACTAAATACCAAACTGAATAAGGTCAAAGTCAAGGAACGGTTTCCTGGAGGAGATGGGACTTGAGACAGGCTCTAGAAATAGGTCAAACTTGATAGACAGTGAGGAATAGGAAGAAGGGCAAGAAGAAGGAACAACCAAAGGAGAAAAGGCAGAGATGCCTTTCAGGGGCAGTAACATAGACTGGTTGGTATTTGGGAAGAGAATAAAGATGTTTATCATAGGTAAAAGCTATAATTAGCAAAAGTTATATTATCAGTCCTATCAAAGATAATATTCAAAAGATACACCTGAATTGATGAGATTAAAATAAACTTTATCACCAAGACTGGCAAATGTCTTCTGTCCAGACTGGTGAAGTCCCCGTTTTGCTAACATTTGAGCACAGTTTAGTTGTTAGCACAGGGGCTGCAAACAAGAGGTCCTCTGAGACCTGAGAATTAACACAGCCCTCGAGAGCTGAACTTACAGTCACCTAAAGGACCCAAGTCAAGTGAGGCTTGGTCACTTCCAACAGGAAGAATGGCTCCCAAATAAGCAAGTCCTCACAGACCAATGTCCAATGTGTCCTGCTACTCATGCAAAAACACTCAAATAGTCAAGGCAGCTGGCATGTTTAAGAAATAAGGAAAAGGACTAACAGATAAATATTGGCAATGTCTCTTTTCAGCACTACTCAAAGAAGAGAGTTTTGGACAATGAACCTGAATACTAGTTACCTTCAGAGAAGGAGCCTGATGACGGGGAAACATGGATAAAATTAACTACCAATGCGCTAATCTCTAAATGAATGGCTGAGGGGTTTGGAGGAAGAATAGATTCCAATCAAGGCAACCAGGGTACAGTATTCATGACAGTTTTATTCTTTTACTATCCCTGAAGCTATGGCATAGTAGGGTACTGAAATCTGATGAGAAGAGAGGAGTCAGTTCTAGTCTAGAAAAGAAAAGCTCAGAGAACAAGGATCTGCCCAAGTCCTCACAGCACTGGCGGAGGAGGTGCAGTGCAAGGGGCGAGTATTTCTGCCTGCAGGGGTGTCACTAGTGGGGCGAGATCAGGTGATCACAACTAGCAAAGGCAAGCCATTAACCCCCAGCAAGCTTTTTGTACAAGAGATCTCTTAAGTGTTCTGCTTAGGATTGTTCCCCCTTCAGGAGGGAAGAAAAGGAAAGCAAATGTCAGTGTCTGTGCATGTTACTTAAAAAAAAAAGCAGAATATTGTTTGAGATTACCTCAGCTTTGAAAAGGAGAAGTAAGGGTCATACTGAATATGTTTAGGTTTAGAACTGAGTTTGTTTAAAACTTATAATTAATACCAGATAATTCTGACTGAGAGTATGAACTGGCCGTAAAAATGCTGTGCCTGATAGTCTTAGTTAAATGGTTTCTCCCTAAACAGTAACAAAACAGTTGAGGCAATGGTAACTAAGTACCTGACACCTCTCACCCACAGAGGGTCTCAGGAGTAATGAACTGAAGAGAAAAAGCTTCTGATTCTGATGTGACGAGAAAAAGAGAGCGAGAGCAAGAAAGTGTGTGTGTGCGCGCGCGCGTGTGCGCAGGGCAGGCACCTGTGAGAAGTGACCCTGTTCTGATGGGACAGAATCTGGACTTCAGTAGCAAAGCTCTGAAATGGTCCAAGTGGCTTATTATAACCATCCTGATGACTTGATTCAACTTAAATCCTTTTGGATGGCTATAAATCCATTACCCAATATATAGATAAGTGGTAGGAAATTTAACATACTGATTTTGCTTAACAGGTTTGTTATTAGAAATATAAAAGACAGAGCAGCAACACTTAAGAACAATCAAAGGACATCAAATATTGAAGTATTAAACAGAGGAAGAAACTACAGTTTTTGAGGTAATGGGAGAGAGAGATAAAGAAACATTCAGCACTCCAAAGAAGGTGCTTTGTGTTCCTTTTGGAGGGTACACGTGGATTAATGGTGGGCAGAGATGAAGTTGAGGGAAGCAACTCCATGAGCCTGGGCTCAGAATAATCTGAAAACATACATGAAGAAAACTGCCCAGTGGAATTGTGAGTTATGTCTTAGTTTGTTGTTTTGTTTGTTCATTAATTCATTATTCACATTTTAAAAAATTTTCTGGTCTCACAAGGCAGCAGGGAAGGCAGAGGGGTAATCAATCACAGCCAAACTATATGGGAAAAAATGATTTTGATCACTTATTGTAAGAGCCAGACACTGTGTTAGGTGTTGGGATATACAGAGCTCAACAAAAGATGGTTCCTATTTAGATAAATGAAGAAGAGAAGGAAATATGGGTACAGTAGAATGAAGTAAGTGCTGTAACAGAGGCTGTGGGAGGTTAGAGGAGAGGGGAATAGATAAACTCTGGGGAACTGGAAAAGGCTTTAATAGAGGTGCTATTTCAGTTGGGTCTTAATAATAAAAGGTACTTTGTTGCGTGTGTACTGTGCACAGGAATTAGTTATCATGAGTTTTAACTCATCTAAAAGTGAAAATAATAAGTTTTCAGGGCTTGGGGGAAAATTTTATTACCAAATAATATGCAAAACAAATATGCTCATATCTTCTCTGAGACTCATCTCACCCCTGAGACCTACTTTAATACCCACCCACAACTTGGGGTAGGGTGGGAGACAGTAGAGGAGCGAAGCCTATGTGTGGACTAACAACATAAAACCAGGAATTTCAAGGTCACCACATGTACTCATCCAAGCTCAAACATTCTAATAAACAAAGTTCACCAGTAAGAATTCACTTGTATCATAAATAATTTGCACTTCAAAATTCTCTGCCTTCACCTTTGAAATTTAAATATTATACCCATTTATTTTTTTAAAGAATAGCTTTATTGACACATAATTCACATATCTTACAATTCACCCATTTCAAGTATACAACTCAGTAGTTTTTAGTATATTCAGAGTTGTACACATTCGTATTTTTAACTAATAATAGTTTTGACTGTTTACTAATATAAACTCTCCTGTTTTTCATTTGCAAATCTGGAGTAGTGGTTCTTAACCCATTAAAGTTTCAAATAACCTGTGGACCTTTTAATGCCCTAGCCAACTGAATTAAAATCTATGGAGGTAAACCTTAAGTATCAAATATTATTTAAAAAAAAACAAACTCTCCAGGATATTCTACTATGAAGCTGGAGTTGAGAACTACTGATCTAGAGCATTAATACCTGTTTTTTTTGGGGGGGGGGATGCAATTCCTGATGAATATGTTAGCTTTATTTAACTGGGTAAACATAAGACACTGGGATTGGAACAGGAGGACCAATATTAGGGCCCCAGCATAATCCACTATTTGCAGCCCTAGACTTCCCAGGAAACCCTCAAACTAAAATTCTAACATTTCTTCCAGCTTCTCAGTCATAACATATTATAAAATTCTCTATAACAGTGGTTTTTGGTGTATGGGACTAGCTGATAGCTCCTTAGGCAAAAACAAAACAAAACAAAACAAAACAAAACAAAACAAAACTGTTTTCCAGGTTATACATGTATAATTTAACTTTAGAAGTCCAAACAAGATAAAAGTAGCCTGTAATTGTACTTGGAGTTAGGGACAGAACAAAAGCCAGGAATGTCTACAGTGCAAATTACTCAGGAGTAAAATGTGAATGTCTTGTCTCCACCCAGTCTCTTCTCTCTTTCCTCGGTCCCTCTTCCTGGCTGAGGCCAGTTCCTCCACCTGTGCTTTGGTCCCATCAACTCCCACTTCCTCAGAAACTGTCCATAGCTGATTATTCCTTCTTCCTCTTGCATTTTCAATATCTCCCTCTAAACCAGATCCCTCCCATTAACTTTTTTAGATGTTCAAGTCTCTCATATTATTAAAAGAAATGCCACTACTTAACGCCTTACCATCCTCTCTTTCTACCACTCGCCTCTCCTCCTCTTCACAGAAAAATTTCTTCAAAGAGCTGTCTACATTCAGTTTACTCATGGGTCACCTCCCATTCAATCCTCAGCCCTCTGCAACCTGCCAGTGCCATTGCACCACTAAGTGTCCCTCCCCAAGGGCACCAATTATTTCCACGTTCCTAAATCTGACCACGTCTTCATCTCTTATCTTGATACTTGTAGTACTTACTGTTGGCTATCTACCCAGCTTCTATTTCTCCATTATTCCTTTACAGACAAACCCCAATTTTGTTCAGGTTTCTAGTCTTTCCTACTGTGTTTCAGGGAAGGTTAACCTCAGCCTCAAGGGTGGATATCCTCTGGGCCAGTCAGAGGATAGCTTTCCCCCAGTGACTGCCCTTGGTCCAGGGTGTATATGAAGCAAACTGGCTCAATCAGATTAAAGGGAACTATGACTGGGAAGAGAAGACTCTTCTCCCTTTACTCTTGCTCTCTCTCCTCTATGTAAGATAATACATTCCTTTAATGTTTAATCTAGCTTTAGAGGGCATTTTCTGTTAATTTCAGGGTAAACCATCCAACTGATACATTTAGCCCTACTGGCTACTCCCTCCAAATACTCTTCCTGTAGCTTACTGTCCTCACTGGCCCCGGTTTTCCTTCTACTGCTCTGGCTACTACTTCACAAGCTGCTAAGTGTAGGAGACATTGGCATTTACAGACCATGGGGATATCGTTGAGTGTAATTACATATATTAAAAATAACTTTAAGGAGCTCCCCAGTGGTAAAAAAAAAATTAATAAAGCTAAGAGTAAAAAAAGTTCATTAACTAATACTAAATCTATTAGTGTTATACCAAGATGAATTCTGGTAAATACAACCTATGTTTTCTACTTTGTGTCTTTTAAATGCGAGACTACTGGTGGTTACCAGTGTATCATGAATATCAAAAGACCCGAATGTCAAAGAAAGTCTATGCTGCAAATCCTGTTTCTGCTGTGCTGGGGCCAGTTACTTGGTAAGAGGGCTCTGGGAGGCTCCAATGCTCCTTTAGTGGCTACAGGGCCTTGTCACCCTGGGCTTCTCTGAGCCTTCCAAAACAATCCAGGAGGGAGTGGGCTTTGCAGGGTGGGCTTTGAGTGGGCTGCCCAGGACTCATTCAAAGAAAGGCTAAGGTAACATTCTCTGTTACTGCACATAGGAAAAGCCAGTCCATCAATTATCATCAATGTAATAATCACACCCAGGGTTAAAAAGAACATGACACTATGTTCCTTTCTTATACAGCTATTTGGTCAAAGGCCAAAGTGAAGTAGATCTTATTTATATTTCTCTCATTACAAAGCATAGCACTTTGTAAATAATAAAACACTCAGTAAGTATTTGTTGATTTAATGAATTAAAAGAAACAGATACTGTATATGTCCTCTAGGAGTTTAATCTGGCCATAAGAATGAGTAAATTAGAGGAGAAAAATGCAGGGACTTACGATACTTGTTTTTGAGTCAGAAAGGACCTCAATTCAATTCACCCTAACCCGAAAGTAGAGGTAATAAAACTTGCCTTAGAGGGTTGTGTGTTAGGGTTAGATGACACATATATCTCATTTATGACTTAAAACAACCCTGACATGCACTTATTCTTCCTGTTTCTGTCCTTCCTACTTCAAAGGGAGGGGCTACACCTACCTTATTCATTTTAGTATAGCCATAAAAGCACAAAGTATACACTCAATCAGTATTTGTTGAGTAGATGAACCAAAAGAGATTCAAGAAATTTCTACAAAATTGAGAACATGGTTAGAGCAAATTTACCTCATATATGCTAACAATAAAATTTTTTTTCTTTTCTTGCAGATTCTCTGCATATTTTTAATGTAACTCCTCCCTATATCTACTACTTTTTAGTCTTCATATCACCATAGCTGCAGAAATAAAAGTATCTTCACAACGTTTGTGTATGATAAAAACTTTAATAGCTTGAGTAATTGGTATAATGAAATTAAGCTTTTAAAAGCATACTTATTAAAGCTCAAGTAACTATATACATATATGTATGCATTTTCATATTTTTAATTCCTGTGACAAATGGAAAAGTATCTTATGTACCTGAGGGAGTTAACCACATTCTCTGCCTCGTTATCCTGAAGTTCACATATACTAGAAGGAAAAAGTCCTTGTGTACCAGAAGGATCACTGATCAATTCTACTGTGACTCTAACCTAGTAAAGGTTTAAAAGTAAATGAACATTATAAAGATAATGTACTGCATTCACTAGTCAAATCTTACAGGTATCACTGAAATTTTTCTAAATGGGTGAACTATTATCAGACACTTAAGAGACAAGAGACAGAACTCAAATGATTTCTTTTTGCCAACTTTCTGACTTTCTTTAGGCCACAAATATCTGAATATGTAGAACAAAGTGCCACAATTACAGTTTTAAATAAACTTTTTTGAGTCTCCCAACAATTTAACAGAAGGTGGTAATATGCACCTGAAGGACATACTGGCTTATGTATGAATGTATATGTGCACAATAAGCATGTACATAACATTAATACGTAACAGAAAACTGCACACACGCATGAGTATGCACAGGCACACACACACACACACACACACACACACGCAAACACACATTTTAAATTAATTATGGCTCTTATCAAAGTGGTTTACTTTCAGCCAGTTTAATTTGTCTGGCACAGTTCTAAATAGAGAGTAAGTGATTAATAAGTACATCAATTGACCTGAATTGTGGAGATCAAAGTATTACCAACGTAATATTAAAAGAGAGCTGTGAATGGAAACAAAAAGGTTCAAAATTACCAAAAAATATGTTTCTTTTGTCCATTTTAAAATACAAGGAAGCAGGTGGTCCTTATTCTCCCTCTCCTCAAGCTATCTGTATTTAAACAACTGTGAGTCAAGGACTAGATAGATTTTCGTTTCCTGTAATATGAAGTTTAGCTGCCAGACCCCAAAGAAGCAACATGAAACTAAAAAATGTTAAAAGTCCACACTGCACTCTTTGTTTTGGGAAGCATATCTCTCTGGATCCTTGAAGAAGATATGGTGACCCCAGATGCCAGTGATGAGAGTGCTGGCCTGACACACAGCATCCAGACTTTCACACTGAGGACTTGCCCATCCCAGAAAGTACATTCTGTGTCCAAGACAAAAACCAGAGCCCCATAGCCTGTAGTGCGGTGACCAACCACTCCATAAAGAAAATAGGTGGGAGATAGACAAGTGAGAAAGACAGTGTGGATGTGGTGGCTTTGGTCAAAATCCCAAGTTGGGTTTACTAGTCAGTGGTGTCACTGCTTGAATCATCACTGTGGTTGTGAGGAAAATATCGAGCAGGTCCTAAATAGCTGAAGAATTGTGTTCTTTTGACAACATTAAAACAATAACAACAACAAACTGTCCTTGTGGCAGTGTTAGAAGATGACCCATGGAAATGCTACCCTGTAGTTCTAAAGCCATGGTGATCCCTTACTTTCCAAAAGCAATAGAAAGAAAGATAAATCACAAGACATTCTGCTCTCAAAATATTTTCTCTTTTTATATAAATTCTGTAAAACTAGGTTTATAAAATAAAATATATAGAAAATAGGAGCAAAACTAAACCAGCTTGCAACCAAGATATTCAAAGTAATTCAAACCATAATGGAAACTGTAATTGTGTCTTCATTTTGACTACTCTCTGTTCTTGTTAAAATGAAAAGCAATCTGGAAATATCTATACATATCCGTATGCACAAACATATGCTGTGAAACCAGATCCACAAATTCATACAGACTAGCCACGAGAGGGCGCTCAACAATGGAACGAGACCGCCAGGCTTATTTCCCTTAGATGTGTATTTCAGCACCTACTGGGCACACATTTTCAAACTTTGGAAGAGAGACTCCAATTCAAAATTCTTCACTTTTTCATAGCTATAAGCTTTGCCAGATGCTCATATTTTTAAGGGTGTATCCATATCTTAGATTCCAAATCTTCTTGACCAGAGGGTCAAAGCATCTAGCATTGAGTCCTTACATTACCAAATATAGATTTAAAAAATGAACAGTAAAACTGCCATGTTGTACAGAGGATGTGAATGTGTTCAGAGCCATGTATGAAGCCTGGAAAAGTTCGCTACTGAAACAGAGAAACCAGGTGGCTTTCCATCATGATTACTTTAAGGTGCCTTATTTCAGAACATTTTTAAGTTCGGCACACAGGATAATGGTTTTAACTTTACAATAAATTAAAGTATAACAGTTTCATTTAATTAATATTAGAAATGAAATGCCAGACTCTATACCTAGAGAGACTTCCTTGATCAGCTCAGCAGCAGCATGGCAACCCTGAACGAGTATCCTGGTCCAGGTCGACAGATCCCGATGAGTCTCCACCCTGAAAAGATGCATCTCAATACCCTGCCGGGAGCCTGTCCTGGTAGCAAACGTAAGGTCAGATCCAAGAGAGGGTGATCGACATCCAGAACCAGAATGAACCAACCTAGGACCACAAACAGAGCAAAGATCAAAAGTAATTAAGACATTGCCAGAGGAAAATGTCAGCAATTTATGAGGATTAATAAGCAGAAAATTATAAAAGCCATCAGCAGTTTTTAGGTAAGTATTTTTCAAACCAAGATTATAGTCTCTGAAGTAGATACCATTCTTTTTTCCCATAAAATGACCTCCGGTGTCACAGGCAGAATACTGGACTGGACGGCCCAAGCCCCAGTTTCCCATTGGCTTTTTTTATGCTCCCAAGAGGCTATGCATACAAAAGATTCCATTTTGATTAGGAAGTAAGCCCCCCCCCCCGCCACAACATGTATAGCCTCCCCCATTATCAACATCACTTACCAGGATGGTCCATTTTTTACCAAGGATGAACCTATATTAACACATGATAATCACTCAGAGTCCAGAGTCTACTTTAGGGTTCACTCTTAGTACTGTATATTCTATAGGTTTGGACAAACATATAAAGACATATAGCCATCACTATAATATCATACAGGGTATTTTCCCTGCTCTAAGAATCCTCAGTGCACTGCTTATTCATTGTCCATCTCCCCTGGCAACCATGAATCTTATTATTGCCTCCATAGTTCTGCTTTTTCCAAAATGTCATATAGTTGCAATTAGACAACATAAAGCCTTTTCTAATTGGCTTCATTCACTTAGTAATATGCATAGAAGGTCGTTCCATGTTTTTTCATGGCTTGATAGCTCATTTCTTTTTAGCGCTGAATATTTCATTGTCTGGATCTATCACAGTTTATTTATCCATTCACCTACTGCAGAACTGTCTTGGTTGCTTCCAAGTTTTGGCAATTATGAATAAAGCTGTATAAACATCTTTGCACGGGTTTTTGTGTGAACATAAGTTTTCAGCTCCTTTGGGTAAACCAAGGAGTGGGATTGCTGGGTAATGAGGTAAGAAAATGTTTGCAAGAAACCACAAAACTGTCATCCAAAGTAGCTGTACCATTTTGCATTCCCACCAGTAATGTATGAGAGTTTCTGTTGTTCCACATCCTCACCAGCATTTGGTGATGTCAGCATTCCAGATATTGTCTATTCTAATAAGTATGTAGTGCTATCTCATTTTAATTTGCATTTCCCTGATAACATTATGATGTGGACCATATTTTCATATTCTTATTTGCCATCTGCATATCTTCTTTGGTGGGGTATCTGTTCAGGTCCTTGGCCCATTTTTTAATTAAGTTGTTTGTTTTCCTACTGTTGAGTTTCAGTAGTTCTTTGCATATTTTGGATAACAGCCCTGTATCAGCTGTGTCTTTTCCAAGTATTTTCTCCTAGTCTGTGGCTTGTCTTCAACTTTTTTGACATTGTCTTTCACAGAACAGAAATTTTTAGTTTTAATGCTCAAGTCCAGCTAATCAATTATTTCTTTCATAAATCATGTCGTCTTTGGTGTTATAACTAAAAAAGCCATCGCAATACCCTAGGTCATCTAGGTTTTCTCCTGTTATCTTTTAGGAGTTTTATAGTTTTGCATTTAGACCTATGATCCATTTTGAGTTAATTTTTGTGAAGTGTGTAAGGTTTGTGCCTAGATTCATCTTTTTTCATGTGGATGTCTAGTTGTTTCAGCAACGTTTGTTGAAAAGACTATCCCTGTTCCATTATCGTATCTTTGCTCCTTTGTCAAAGATCAGTTGACTATATTTACAGGGGTCTATTTCTGGGCTCTCTGTTCTGCTACACTGATCTATTTGTCTGTTCTCTCACCAATACTACACTGTCTTGATTACTGAAGTTTAACAGTAAGTCTTGAAGCTGGGCATTATCAGTCTTCCAACTTTGTTCTTCAGTTTTGTGTTGGATATTCTGGGCCTTTTGCCTCTCCATATAAACTTTACAATCACTTTGTCAATATCCAGAAAATAACTTGCTAGAGTTTTGACTGGGATTGCATTGAATCTATAGATCAATTTGGGAAGAACTGACAGCTTCACAATTTTGTTTTCTTATCCATGAACATGGAATATCTCTCCATTTATTTAGTTCTTCTTTGATTTTGTTCACCAGAGTTTTATAGTTCTTCTAACCCAGATCTTGAACATAATTTGTTAGATTTATATCTAAGTATTTCATTTGGTGGTGGTGGGGTGCTAAAGCAAATGGCACTGTGTTTTTAATTTCAAATTCCACTTGTACATTGTTACTATATAGGAAAATAATTGACTTTTGTATATTGACCTTGTATCCTGCAACCTTGCTATAATTGCTTGTTAGTTCCAAGTTTTCTGTCAGTTCTTTTGGATTTTCTACATAGATGATCATATATTCTGTGAACAAAGATAGTTTTATGTCTTTCTTTTCGATCTGTATACCTGTTATTTCTTTTTCTTGCCTTATTGCATTACCAAGGATTTCTAGTATGCTAAAAGGATTGGTGAGAAGGACATCTTTTTCTTGTACCTGATCTTAGTGGGAAAGCTTTGTGTTTCTCACCATTAAGTATGTTAGCTATGTATTTTTTTGTTGGTAGTCTTTATCAAGTTGAGAATGTCCTCATTTTTTCTAAGTTTACTGAGAGTTTTTTTTTTTTATCATGAATGGGTGTTGCATTTTGTCAAATGCTTTTTCTGTATCTCTTGATATGATGTAATTTTTCTTCTTTAGCTTGCTGACATGATGGATTACACGAATTTATTTTCAAATGTTGAACCAGCCCTGCATACCTAAAATAAATGCCACTTGGTCATGATATATAATTTTTATATTTTTTTAGATTAGGTTTGGTAATATTTTTGAGGATTTTTGCATCTACGTTCATGAGATAGCTGTAGTTTTCTTATTAATGTCTTTGTCTGGTTTTGGTAATAGCATAATGATAGCCTCATAGAATGAGTTAGGAAGTATTCCTTCTTCATCTATTCTTTGAAAGAGATGGTAGGGAATTTCTTCCTTAAATGTTCAGTAGAATTTACAAGTGAACCCATCTGGGTCTGGTGCTTTCTGTTTTGGAAGACCTTACACTTTTCACAAAAACCAACTCAAAATGGATCTTAGATCTGAATGTAAAATGCAAAAGTGTAAAACTTCAAGAAGATATCTTAAAAGAAAATCTAGGTGATCTAAAAAGATAACAAAAGCATGATCTATGAGGGGAAAATGATTAAGTTGGACTTCAAAAAACTTTTGCTCTTTGAAAAAGATTGTTAAGAGAATAAAAAGATAAGCCACAAAGTAGATGAAAATATATGAAAAACACGTATCTGAAAAAGAACTGTAACCAAAATATACAAAGAACTCTTAAAACTCTAGCTGCCTACTCAATATCCATCGTCTCATTCTTCCTTAGAAATAAAAAGCTGCCTTTATCCTAAATGATAGCATGCACAGATAAAAGAGTATTTCCCAAACTTCTTTGCAGGAAAAGATGTTCAATGAACTGGAAGTTCCTATTGGGTAGGATCACTAGAAAAGCTACACAACTGGAGAACAAGGCAGCAAGTATGTCCTCTTCTGTTCTTTTCTTCTTCTTTCCCCTGCCTACAATTTGGATATGATGGCTGGAGCTTCCAATAGCCTTCTTGAGCCATGAAGCAACCTTGAAGGGTAGAAGCCTCTTGCTAAGGATGGTAGATTTCTTATATGTAAGAAAGAAATAAACATCTATTTTTATTACTTTTGGTTACTTTTACCAACAGAACATGCTTCCTAATGATTATCAGTATGTAAATAAGGTGTTAAATAAGCATTTGGAATGTAAGTCTGTGATTCTGTTGGGAGACATAAATTTGAAAGTTGTCGATTTATAGGAGATATTTGAAGCTATGGTACTAGATACAATCATCAGAGGGGCAGGATGGTTGATAAAGAAGAGATGTAAGCCCTGGAATAAGTAAATGTTTTGAAGTCAGGATGGTAAGGACGAATCAACGAAGGGGAATGAGAAAATGTGGTTTCAGAAGTCAGAGGAGAATTGACAGAGAATCAGGAGAAACCAGGTAAAAAAAATACCAAAAAAAGGAGCCGAAAACATTTTTTTTTCCAACTGCTTTCAGTAATTATATTGTTGGTGATACTGCTGTAGTAGTAGTAACAGTAGTACCATTCTGACATGTAATGTGAGATAAAGCAAATGAACAATTTAAGGAATATTCTAATTTGATCTCTGGTATCCTTAAGATCTGGAATTCTGAGTATGGGAAAAAGAAAAACTAGATATAAGATAGAAGAGGTTAAGTAAAAACACTGTGGTGTCAAAGTTGAAATGGTGTATCTGTCTGAACTATGTATTTTATGTTTAAAAATATATATATACACATACACAAACATATACACACTTCCCACCACTGTCCATCAACAAAGGCATATAAACAATAGCTAACCCAATAGCAACAAATGTTGTTAGTGCCTAAACTGAACCCCTACCCCTTCAAAAAAAAAAAGAAATTGAGGCTTCTTGGAAAATGTCTGATCTAGAACAGAAAATATACAAGATAAATTGAGAATAGTCTTATCATAACAGATAACATGGCAATTCTCAAATATTTTTATATAAAAGTCCCGTCAAAAGGGCTCAGAAGTCCACTTTAAGAGGCCTTCACTGGCTAACAGTAGGATGGTTTTTGATAGATACGGGGTTTCCTTTTGGGGTGATGAAAATCTTCTGGAATTAGACAGTGGTCCTAATGCATACATAACTTCATGAACTTCATGGTAAATGAATTATATCTCAATAAAGCTGTTAAAATAAAAACAAGCAAATGGGAAGAAAATGAGAGGATATTATTGAACCAACTCAATATTATGGAGAGGGCCCAGTTATTGGTAATGATAAGAGTGTTAGCAAGATTGTGGTGATGGGTGATGGAAATGGTGTGAAAGACAATATCATTTCAGGGGAGGAAGTCAAGGAACTGAGAGTTCAGGGTAATAGAAGGAGCATCTAAGTAGACATTAAAATCATCAAAATTCTAGGATTATGTGTATATATCTCACACCTGGGCATATATCCAGAGA